CCATTAACCACCCCTTCTTCCCCTTCCCAACACTACACTCCCAACCTCTGTAATTATCATGCTACTCTATCTCCGTGAGTTCAGTTCTTTTAATTTTTAGCTCTCATAAGTAAGTGAGAACATGGGAAATTTGTTTTCTGTGCCTGGCTTATTTCAGTTAATATAATGACCCCCCCAGAGTTCCAGCCATGTTGTTGCAAATGACAGGACCTCATTTTTTTGTGGCTGAATTGGACTCCATTGTGTATATGTACCACATTTTCTTTATCCACTCATCTGTTGATGGACACAGGTTGCTTCCAAATCTTGCCTATTGTGAACAGCGCTGCAATAAACATGGAGTCTGGATATCTCTTTAATATGCTGACTTCCTTTATTTTGGGCATAGTCCTAGTAGCGTAACTGCTGAATCATATGATACCTCTATTTTTAGTTTTGTGAGGAACCTCCAATTGTACTAATTTACATGCCCATTAACAGCATATGAACATTCTCTTTTCTCCACATCGTCACCAGAATTTGCTGTTGCCTTTTGGATAGGTTGTTTCAACTTGGGTGAGATGATATCTCATTGTGGTTTTGATGTGCACTTCTCCGATGATCAGTTATGGTGAGTACCTTTTCACACACCTGATTGCCATTGGTATGTCTTGTTTTAAAAAATGTCCGTTCAGATGCATTGTTCATTTTTTATTCTGATTATTAGATTTTTTCCTATAGAGTTGCTTGAGCTCTTATCTGTTCTGGTGATTAACGGCTTGTCAGATGGGTGGTTCGCAGGTATTTTCTCCCATTCTGTGGGTTGTCTCTTCACTTTGTTGATCATTTCCTTTGCTGTGCAGAAGCTTTTTAGTTTGGTGTGATCTCATTTGTCCATGTTTGCTTTGGTTGCCTGTGCGTGTGGTATCTATCTAAGCCTTTGAATCCCTTCCTCTGCATTGGATCAAGGCAGATCTGTCATTTCTAACTTGTTCACTGTGCCCCGCCTTTCAGCCCTTGTCCTGTGGGTTTTCAGATTTTGTTCTTTTATCAACATTTTAGGGGTTTTGGGAGGAACAGAGATGATCACGTATGCTCCATCCACCATGTTTAAAGCAGACATCTGTCTATGCCGGTTGTAGTGCCCAAAGGCGAGGTATGAAGTCACTTCCGGGAAGGCTGATCCACAGATCGTGCACAGAACAGACCTGGGGGGTTCTATTCTTTCCCTCACTCCTCCTCTCACACCCGTCATTACAAATCCCATTAGTTCTGCTTTCAGTACATGACCAGACTCTGGGCACTTCTCCTGGCCATTGCTCCCACCCTGGCCCAGGCGACCTGGATTCGTCTCTCACCAGGATTTCTGTAGCTGCCTCCGACACCACCTTCTTCCTTTGCCTTCATTGATCTATTCCCAGCACATCAGCCATTAAAGTCAGATCATGTGACTGCTCAACTGAAACCCTCCAATGGCTTCAAATTTCACTCAGAAAAGTATTTCAGGTCCTTACCATGAGCGATAGGGTCAACACAATCCGCACTCACTACCTGCTAACACCGGCTCCCTGCCTCACTCAGCCTCAACCTTCCCAGCCTCCTTTCTGCTTCTCACGTGCACTAAGCGTGTGCCAAACCCGGGATCTTTGCCTTGCTGCTCATCCCCAGGCACTCCCATGGCCGTTTCATCACTTGCGTCAGTGTTCAGCTGAAATGTCATCTTCTCGGAGAGGTCTCTCCTGCTTGTGTATCCACTTGTGACCCTAGCATACTCAGCATGGTTCTTGATCTCTAAGCACCCCCTCTTGACCTCAGCCCTACGACAACAAACAATCTGTGCTAGTTGTTGGTTTTCTCACTTCTACTTTGAACCCAGGAAGACTTCCAGGCCAGCACCTCTCAAACTGAAATGTGTATGTAAACAAGAAAGAGTTACAGGCGAGCTTCTCACAGTATAATGTGCAAATTGCTTGAGACTCTCATTAATTTCAGATTCTGATTCCACAGGTGGGGGACATGGCCTGCAATTCTGCCTCTTTGACATGTGCCTAGCAGGTACAGATGCTGGTGACTCCAGCTGTTACGGGCCGATTTGTGTTCCCCAAAATGTATATGTTGGAGCCCGGCCACCTAGTCTGAATGCGGCTGTATTTGGAGATAGGGACTTTGAAGCAGAAGTAATTAAGTTAAAATGGGGTCATGAGGATGGGCCCTGATGCAATACGACAGGCGTCCCTATACAAACAGGAAATTTAGACACAGAGTCACACAGAGGGAACACCATGTGAAGACACCTCAGAAGAAATCAAGCATTCCAACACCTTGGTCTCAGACTTGCAGCCTCCAGAATTGTGAGAACATCAATTTCCGCCATTTAAGTCACTCAGACTGCGGTGCTTTGTCGTGTCAAACCTAGCAAACCAATACAAATTTTGGTACTGAGAAGTGTGGTGCTGCTGTAACAAATACCTGAAAATGTGGAAGCCACTTCTGAATGGGGCAATGGGCAGGGGAGGGAATGGTTTTGAGGCACTTGATAGAAAAGCCTAGATTGCCTTGATAAGGTTATTGGTAGAAATATGGACATCAAGGGGCATTCTGGTGACAGATCATAAAGAAAAAAAGAGAGTTGGGCCAGGCTTGCGGCTCACCCCTGTAATCACAGCACTCTGGGAGGCTGAGGCGGGTGGATCACGAGGTCAGGAGTTTGAGACCAGCCAGGCCAATACGGTGAAACCTTGTCTCTACTAAAATTACAAAAGTTATCTAGCTGTGATAGCATGAACCTGTGGTCCCAGCTACGCGGGAGGCTGAGGCAGAAGAATCACTTGAACCCAAGAGGTGGAGGTTGCAGTGAGCTGAGATGGTGCCACTGCACTCCGGCCTGAGTAACAGAGTAAGACTCAGTTTCAAAAAACAAAAAGAAGAAGAAAAGAAAAAACGAAAAAGGAGAGTGTTGAAACAGTTTCTACAGCCTTAGAGGATACATGTATTCCCATGAACAGAATATTGCTAGAAATATGAATGTTAATGATGCTTCTTATGAGGTCTCGGATAGAAATGAGGAGGAGCATGTTGCTGGAAACTTGAGGAAAGGTGATCCTTATTATAAAGTGGCAGAAAACTGGACTGAATTGTGCTCCCATGTTTTGTAAAAAGTAGAGCATCTAAGTGACGCTCTTGGATATTTAGCTAAGGAAATTTCAAAGCATAGTGTCGAAGATACTGCCTGGTGTCTCCTTGCTACTTACAGTAAATTGCAGCGTGAAGGTGAATTGAAGAAGGAACTTTTAAGCACAAAGGAACCAGAATCTGAAGATTTGGAAAATACTCTATCCATATTGCAAAAACTGAGAAACTGTATTCTGGAGACGACACCAAGAACGTAGCTGAAAAAGATGTGCTACAAGCAGATTACAGTGTGGCTTACAGACCCAGTTAACCATCCTAGCAGAAGTCCTGTTCCTGTACTGAAAGGAACAGACAGCACGAAATGGAGGTAGGCTGTCAGACTCCTGGGATTCTACACGAGGAGCCGATAGAGCTATCCAACTGTGAACATCCTTCAACAAAGAGAGGAATGACTCCGAAGATAATTCAGAAACCAGCAAGGCTGCCACTGCCACAACAGGCCAGAGGGCAGGCGTCTAGCGCTATTTTGTTCCCCAAGATTTCATTCCTTCAAACTCTGCATTCTTGCTCTCACTACTCAGGACTCACGCCTCTCCAATCTTTTCGGTCTTAGAACACACTGCAGGCTTCAGCACATTGCCCATTCCTTGTTTTCCCAGGCCACTTAATGTCTTTCTTGAGGTTTCTCTGGACTGAATGTTTTTTCAGGGGTGTTGTGTTTCTGCTACGTCTACCTTGAAGTGCATAATTTCTTTATCCTTCGAAGTGAAGTTGTAATGCCTGACCAGTTTCCTCAGAATGATAAAATCAATAAAATATGTAGCCTATGTTCATTTTATACCTGTATGAGAATCATGATTTTATCCAGTTTTAAAAATAGGTTTTACAGGTGCCCCTGGCTCATTAGAACATCACATCCAAAGAAATGTGGAACAGAAAAAACACAGATACTTCTTTTGTTGTTATTTAGTCTTTATTTCATAATCACAAACTTAACTCAACTCTGCAATCCAGCTAGGCATGGAAGGGAACAAGGAAAACATGGAACCCAAAGGGAACTGCAGCGAGAGCACAGATTTTAGGATACTGCGAGCAAATGGGGTGGAGGGCTGCTCTCCTGAGCTACAGAAGAAATGGTCTGGTGGTTAAGATAAAACACAAGTCAAACTTTTTAAAGTTGTCCACAGTCGGCAATGGGGATCTTCTTGCTGGTCTTGCCATTCCTGGACCCAAAGCGCTCCATGGCCTCCCCAGTACTCATGCCTCCTTTCACCTTGCCGAAGACCACGTTTGCCATCCAACCACTCAGCCTTGACAGTGCAGATGAAAAACTGGGAACCGTTTGTGTTGGGTCCAGCATTTGCCGTGGACAAGATGCCGGGACCTGTGTGCTTTAGGATGAAGTTCTCATCATCACATTTCTCCCCGTAGATGGACTTGCCACCAGTGCCATTATGGCGTGTGAAGTCACCACCCTGGCACATAAACCCTGGAATAATTCTGTGAAAGCAGGAACCCTCATAACCAAATCCTTTCTCTCCAGTGCTCAGAGCACAAGTTTTCTGCTGTCTTTGGAACCTTGTCTGCAAACAGCTCGAAAGAGACGCTGCCCAAGGGCTCACCGTCGACGGCAGTGTTGAAGAACACGGTGGGGTTGACCATGGCTGATACTAGAAGGCTCCAGGCGGCGGCGGCGTCTGCAAAGCCCACAAATACATTTTTAAAAATGTTGGTGTCACAGGCATTTAAAAATTGTGACAAAATATACGTAATATACAGTTTACCATTTTAACCATTTAAGGTGGCATGAAGTGCATTTGTATTGTGCAGCCATCACTACTGTCCATCTCCGAAACTTTTTCATTATCTCAAACTGAAATTCTCTACCTGTGCTCATTTTGGCAGTACATACACTAAAATTGACATGATACAGACAAGATCATCATGGCTCCTGTGCAAGGATGAAATTCTCTACCCATTAAAAAATAACTCCCCCTGGCCGGGCGCGGTGGCTCAAGCCTGTAATCCCAGCACTTTGGGAGGCCGAGGCAGGTGGATCACGAGGTCGAGAGATCGAGGCCAACCTGGTCAACATGGTGAAAACCCCGTCTCTACTAAAAATACAAAAAATTAGCTGGGCATGGTGGCGCGTGCCTGTAATCCCAGCTACTCAGGAGGCTGAGGCAGGAGAATTGCCTGAACCCGGGAGGCGGAGGTTGCGGTGAGCCGAGATCGCGCCATTGCACTCCAGCCTGGGTAACAAGAGCGAGACTCCGTCTCAAAAAATAATAATAATAATAATAATAACTCCCCTTTATTTCCTCCCTAAGCCTCAAGGAACCACTGTTCTACTTTATGTCTCTACAAATAACTATAATGTCACCTGTGGGTTTTTCACATGTAATCTTTATAACGTTGAGGTACCTTGCTGAATTTTTTTAAATCATAAAAGGATATTGAATTTTGTCAAATACTTTTCCTGCATCATTGGAGACAATTATGGTTGCTTCCCCCTTCATTCTATTAATGTGGTGTACTGATCAATTATTATATGTTAAACTACCCTTGCATTACAGGAATAAACCTCACTTGGTCAAAGAGTATGATACGCTAGTTTTAATGTTACTGAATTGAATTTGCTAGTATTTTTGTATTAATATTCTTAAGGCATATTTTTTCTGTAGTTTTCTTTTCTTGTAGTGTCTTTGCTCGTTTTGGTGTCAGGATAATGCTGGCCTCACAGAATAATTTTGAATAATTGATTTGACTTTTTGGAAGTGTTTGAGAAGGATTTTCTAATATATACCTTAAGTTCTGGGGTACCTGTGCAGATCATGCAGGTTTGTTACATAGGTATACACGTGCCATGGTGATGGTTTGCTGCGTCCATTGCCCTGTCGTCTGCATGAGGCATTTCTCCTAATGTTATCCCTCCCCAGTGTCCTCACCCTCTGCTATTCCTCCCCTAGCCTCCCACCCCCCAGGCACTGGTGTGTGATGTCCCCCTCCCTGTGTCTGTGTGTTCTCATTGTTCAATACCCACTTATGAGTGAGAACATGTGGTATTTGATTTTCTGTTCTTGTGTCAGTTTGCTGAGAATGATGGTTTTCAGCTTCATCCATGTCCCTGCAAAGGACACGAATTCATCATTTTTTATGACTGCATAGTATTCCATGGTGTATATGTGCCACATTGTCTTTATCCAGTCTATCATTGATGGGCTGGTTTGGGGTTGCTTTCAAGTCTTTGCTATTGTGAACAGTGCCACAATGAACATACGTGTGCATGTGACTTTATAATGGAATGATTTATAATCCTTTGGGCATATACCCAGTAATGAGATTGCTGAGTCAAATGGCATTTCTATTTCTAGCTCCTTGAGGAATTGCCACACTGTCTTCCACAATGGTTGCACTAATTTACTACTCCCAACAGTGTGAAAAAAAGCATTCCTTTTTCTCCACATCCTCTCCAGCATCTGTTGTCTCCTGACTTTTTTAATGATCACCATTCTAACTGGTGTGAGGTGGTATCTCAATGTGGTTTTGATTTGCATTTCTCTAATGACCAGTGATGATGAGCTTTTTTTCATGTGTTTGTTGGCTGCTTAAATGTCTTCTTTTGAAAAGTGTCTGTTCATATCCTTTGCCCACTTTTTGATGGGGTGGTTTGTTTTTTTCCTGTAAATTTGTTTAAGTTCTCCATAGATTCTGGATATTAGCCCTTTGTCAGATTGGTAGATTGCAAAAATTTTTTCCCATTCTGTTGGTTGCTGGTTCAGTCTATTGATAGTTTCTTTTGCTGTGCAGAAGCTCTTAAGTTTAATTAGATCCCATTTGTCTATTTTGGCTTTTGTTGCCATTGCTTTTGGTGTTTTAGTCATGAAGTCCTTGCCTGTGCCTATGTCCTGAATGGTTTTGCCTAGGTTTTCTTCTAGGGTTTTTATGGTGTTAGGCCTAATGTTTAAATTGTTAATTCATCTAGAGTTAATTTTTGTATAAGGTATAAGGAAGGGATCCAGTTTCAGCTTTCTGCACATGGCTGGCCAGTTTTCCCAACACCATTTATTAAATAGGGAATCCTTTCCCCATTGCTTGTTTTTGCCCGGTTTGTCAAAGATCGGATGGCTGTAGTTGTGTGGCGTTCTTTCCGAGGCCTCTGTTCTGCTCCATTGGTCTATATCTCTGTTTTGGTACCAGTACCATGCTGTTTTGATTACAGTAGACTTGTAATACAGTTTGAAGTTGGGTAGCATGATGCCTCCAAGTTTTTGTTTTTGTTGTTTTTTTTTTGTTTTGCTTAGGATTGTCTTGGCTGTGCGTGCTCTTTTTTGGTTCCATATGAACTTTAAGGTGTTTTTTTCCAATTCTGTGAAAAAAGTCATTGGTAGCCTGACGGGAATAGCATTGACTCTATAAATTACTTTGGGCACTGTGGCCATTTTCACAATATTGATCCTTCCTAACCATGAGCATGGAATGTTCTTCCAGCTGTTTGTGTCTCTTATCTTCTTAGCGGTGGTTTGTAGTCCTCCTTGAAGAGGTCCTTCACATCCCTTGTCAGTTGTATTCCTAGGTATATTATTCTCTTTGTAGCAACTGTGAATGGGAGTTCACTCATGATTTGGCTCTGTTTGTCTGTTATTGGTGTATAGGAATGCTTGCAATTTTTGCACATTGATTTTGTATCCTGAGACTTTGCTAAAGTTGCCTATCGGCTTAAGGAGATTTTGGGCTGAGACAATGGGGTTTTCTAAATATACAATCACGTCATCTGCCAACAGGGACAGTTTGACATCCTCTCATCTCGTTGAACACCCTTTACTTCTTTCTCTTGCCTGATTGCCCTGGCCAGAACTTCCAATACTATGTTCAATAGGAGTCGTGAGAGAGGGCATCCTTGTCTTGAGCGAGTTTTCAAAGGGAATTTTTCTAATTTTTGCCCATTCAGTATGATATTGGCTGTGGGTTTGTCATAAATAGCTTTTATTATTTTGAGATACGATCCATTGATACCTAGTTTATTGAGAGTTTTTAGCATAAAGGGCTGTTGGATTTTGTTGAAGGCTTACTCTGCATCTATTGAGATAATCATGTGGTTTTTGTCTTTGGTTCTGTTTATGTGATGGATTATGTTTCTAGATTTGTGGATGTTGAACCAGCCTTGCATCCCTGGGATGTGGCTGACTTGATCATGATGGATAAGCTTTTTGATGTGCTGTTGGATTTGGTTTGCCAGTATTTTATTGAAAATTTTTGCATCAATGTTCACCAGGGATATTGGCCTGAAATTTTCTTTTTTAGTTGCATCTTTGACAGGTTTTGGTATTAGGATGATGTTGGTCTTGTAAAATGAGTTAGGGAGGATTCTCTCTTTTTGTATTGTTTGAAATAGTTTCAGAAGGAATGGTACCAGCTCCTCTTACCTCTGGTAGAATTCAGCTGTGAATCCATCTGGTACTGGACTTCTTTTGGTTGGTAGGCTATTAATTGCTGCCTCAACCTCAGACCTTGTTATTAATCTACTCAGGAATTCTTCTTCTTCCTGGTTTAGTCTTGGGAGGGTGTGCATGTCCAGGAATTTATCCATTTCTTCTAGATTCACCCTTTTATTTGCATAGAGGTGTTTGTAGTAATTTCTGATGGTAGTTTGTATTTCTGTGGGATCGGTGATGATGTCCCCTTTATCATTTTTTTATTGCATCTATTTGAATCTTCTGTATTTTCTTTTTTATTAGTCTGGCTAGTGGTCTATCAATTTTGTTGGTTTTTTCAAAAAACCAGCTCCTGGATTCATTGATTTCTTTGAAGGATTTTTGTGTCTCTATCTCCTTCAGTTCTGCTTTGATCTTAGGTATTTCTTGCCTTCTGCTGGCTTTTGAGTTTGTTTGATCCTGCTCCTCTAGTTCTTTTAATCATGTTAGGGTGTTGATTTCATATCTTTCCTCACTTCTCATGTGGGCATTTAGTGCTATAAATTTCCCTATAGACACTGCTTTAAATTTGTCCCAGAGATATTGGTTTCAAAGAACATCTTAATTTCTGCCTTCATTTCATTATTTATCCAGTAGTCATTCAGGAGCAGATTGTTTAGTTTACACGTAGTCCTGTGGTTTTGAGTGAGTTTCTCAATCCTGAGTTTTAATTTGATTGCACTGTGGTCTGAGAGACTGTTATGATTTCCATTCTTTTGCACTTGCTGAGGAGTGTTTTACTTCCAATTATGCTCATGGTGGTTCTTCTTAAATATTTTGTAGAATTTACCTGTGAAGCCATTAGGTGCAGGGATTTTCTTTGTTGGGAGTTTTGTTATTATTTATTAGTTCTATATCTATTCAGATTTTCTACTTCTTCATGGTTCAGTCATGATAGGTTTGTGTTTCTAAGAATTAGGATCATCTAACTTCTTGGTGTACAATTGATCGTAGTACTCACCTCAAGTCATGTTTATTTGTAGAATCTGTAGCAATGCCCTCACTTTCGTTTCTGACTTCAGCAATTTGGGTCTTTCTCTTGTCAGGTTAGTCTAAGGTTTGTCAATTTTGTTGATCTTTTCAAAGAATCCACTTTTGATTTCCTTGATTTTCTCTATTTTTTTCCTATTCCTTATTTATCTTTGCTCTAATCCTTATAATTTCCTCTTTCTGTTAGCTTTGAGTTTCGTTTGTGCTTTTCTACTTCCTTAAATTAAAAAGTTAGGTTGTTGACTTAAGATTTCTCCTTATTAAATACGTACTTACAGCTATAAATTTCCTTTCATCTCTGCTTTTACTGCATCTTGTAAGTTTCTGTATGTTGTGTTATCACTTTAATTCATCTCTTTTTTCTAATTTCCCTTGTGATTTCTTTTTTGACCCACTGGTCTTTTAAAAGTGTGTTTAATTTCTGCCTATTTATAAATTTACCAGTTTTCTTCTGTTATTAATTTCTTTTCTTTTCTTTTTTTTTTTTTTTGAGATGGAGTTTCACTCGTTACCCAGGCTGGAGTGCAGTGGCA